AAAAAAAAAAAAAAAAAAAAAAAAAAAAAAAAAAAAAAAAAAAAAAAAAAAAAAAAAAAAAACTAGAGTTATAACCATGCTTTTCTTAAAACAGGCACAATTTAGAAGTAAACAATGGAACTCCTAATGAAGTTTTCTCAAGGTATCTGCTTGACCATTTGCAGGAGGATACCATTTACCGTTGCTTTAAAGCATAAGCATCAAGCTTGTGCAGCTTTGTTGAACCCTTCATCACCAGAACCTCTCGTCTGGCCTTCACCATTGAAGTTAATCATTGAGCTACATCCAGATGCAAAAGTTTTGCTAGAAAAGGCCTTGATGGATGCAAACATGGAGAGAGAGAAGGCCATATTTAAGGAAACATTCGTCACACCTCCTTGTCCTTTCCAATCTGATTTGGACATTGATTCTGATTTAGACAATGATTTAGCATCTGAGGTAATTCAAACACACTTCATTTTGGGTTTTTTGTCGAATAATTTCAAGTCAGGTGTCAATACATGAATGCAATGAATCTGGAAAGGATTTTTTAACGGCCTAAGCTCACCGCTAGCAGAAATTGTCATCTTTGGACCTTTCCTTCTGAGCTTCCCCTTAAGGTTGTAAGCATCCGTTAAGGAGAAGTTTACACACTCTTATAAGGAGTGCTTCATTCTCCTCTTGAATCGATGTGGAATCTCACAATCCATCTTTTCGGGGCCAGTGTCCCCGCTGGTACACCGCTCTATGCTTGGCTCTTATACTATTTGTAATAGCCCAAACCCACCTCTAGTAGATATTGTCGTCTTTCAGCTTTTTCTTTGAGCTTCCCTTCAAGGTTTTAAAACTCATCCGTTAGGAAGAGATTTCCACCCCTTATAAGAAATGCTTCGTTCCCTCAACATTCGAGGTGGGATCTCACATATTCCCTTCTCAATGTTCTAGTTTTACTTCTTGGGATACTGCTCTGTTGCTTATGTTTCGATTTCTGTAATTAATTTGGTCAAGACTATAGCTCATAACTATGTCCGCAACATTCTTACATCACTCGTTGATTCTATCATACGAACAGGCTAGCGATACAGAGTTGTGCAGCATATGCTTTGAACAGATGTGCAATATTGAGGCTCAACCATGTGGCCATAGAATGTGCGCCCATTGTACATTATCTTTATGCTGCCATAAGAAGCCTAATCCAACTACAGCTTGTCCAACAGCCCCTGTTTGCCCCTTTTGCAGAGGCAGCATCACCCAGCTTCTCGTTGCTGAGGTGAAGAGTCATGACAAGGTAGACCAAGAGATTTCCCCCTTGAAGCTGAAGGGGTTGACAACGTCAAATTTCAATGAAGAAAACACCAGCTTGAAGAGCTTATCTATCCTATTTGGGAAGTTGAGTGAACAAAATTCAGGGACATGTGTTAAGTCTTAAAAAAGGCCTTACCAGATGGATAATCCAGCTGATATGGCAACCTCAGATGTCCTTCCATCTGGGTATATAATTTTTACTTCACCTATAAAGCATCTATATTTGGATGTACTGAGGCTGGCCACAAATCTAAAGTATACAAGGGCCGTGCTGAGCGATGTGGGCAGACATATGAGAAGGTTCATTTGCCCCGAGTATTATCATTTTTTTTTTCTCTATCATTGTCAGTTATTTACAACAGTTTCTCAAGCCGCTGAACTAGCAAAGATAGCAAATCTATACGGTCATTTGAAGTTTTTTCTTCTATCATATACTAACAGATACGAAAAGATTAGCCATGGTTACTAGTTAAAATTTTATGGATTCAATCAAATGTAGTTCACTAACTTGGCAGTAAACAGACTGAATGTTGCAGCAACGACGAATGCCTCGATTTGTCTGCCCCAAACACGATCGCTGAATGATGATAATGATAAGTAAATCTCCTACAAATAAAATGGTAGAATGAAACAAATGAGAATTTAACTTTTGACTTGCATCACTTTTTCATGAAGAAAAAGTTGCATTCAAACGTTACTGTACGAATCAAAGAAAGAATCATTTAAACAGTTGGCAATATAAACATGAAAATAGTAGAGGAATCCCTTGAGTGTTACCATCCTGGACAAGTTCTCCATCTGATCTTCTGATTTTCTCTTCGGCAACCGGTCCAAACAACACTGGAGCTACTTGATCATTGGAAAACAAAGAGTTTGTTTGAGAAGCAGGACGAATAGGCGAGTAGTCGTTGGGATCTAGAGTTGAAACTTTGTATTAAAACTATATAAGATGGCCATAATTGAGCTCCATATAAAATAAACACATTTTGAAAAGGCTACCCTGTAACTTCAGTTCAATCCCTTCAGAGAAGTAAGACAAAGAAATATAGTCTTAACAGCGAGGCGATCCAATGCAAATCATTGAACTACAACTAAACTTTCATAAAAGTAGTAATTTAGTTTTTAAACTTTAATTTGTATCCATACATTTACTTTTATAACAATTTAGTAGTCTCTATATTGTAAAATTTATAACAGCTTAGTTTGTAAAAATATTGATAAGATTCAATGAAATTTCTTATGTAGTAGATCGATAAATTGATTAAGCACAAAATGTGTTTAGTTATGAATAAAAAGTACCTGGTAAAAATTTAACGATATTTTTAATGGCTGTGATTAAATTGTCACAAAATTTGAAGAACTAAATTGTTATAAATTAACACAAATTCTACCAAAGTGTAGTTAATGTTTCCATGAAAGTTAGGAGGTGCCAAGGGAATGAATTCTACAAAAATCAAGCATTATTCCAGTGTTTACCTGCACAAACCAAGCATAATGTTCTTCCATACCAACTATTTCCTAGCCTCTCTAACGCAAACACATACACTCGGACAAAAGAAAAACAGAAAAAGACATCGAAGTAAACAGACCTCTGTATCAAGATCCGAGGAAGAATCGGTGAAGGAGCTAGGAGAATGAGTTCGCAAAGTATTGAAAGAAAACAAAGCAGAGAGATCATGATGATTTCCGCCAATCCAACTCTGGCGTTCATTAGCTGCAAGCCTAACGGCCATCTATCTTCCTACATTAACAATATGAACCGCAAAATTAGGGCAAAATTAAGCACTCAAAATTTCTACACAGAGAGAAGAGAGAGAGGTACCTGTTGAGCCATGCTTGAATCTGAAAGCAGCGAGTGGAATAATGTGCCAGGAGAAAAGCGGAGGGGATCAATTCAGAGTCTCATACATTCGACGAAGAGTTCAATCCAACTGCCAATACGATTATCAAATTGAGGAGGAAGAGCAATAATTAAACGAAAGAAATCGACGAACCAGAATGGAGAAGGAACAAACGAGCGAAAACCGTAAATTATAGAGAACAAAAACGTACGATCGGTCTTGCAATTTGCATCACATGGCTTTCAAACGACGCCATTGCCATTGGCCTTGCAAGATCACGCTCATTTGAACTGTGAAGGAATGAAGTTACTTTCAATGAAACAGACGGGAGCTGGTGTGGAGGGAAAGGACGTGAGAGAATAATTTCGTACTGCCATCCAATTTAAAGGTGATCTAATGACTATTATACCCTCCCTTGTTTTGTTCTTCAGCTACTAGCCAACGGTTCAGTATGGTAATTTCAGTTCACCAACATTCAAAATACCTCTTACTTAAAAAACAAGGCATTGAGATTTCAATTCTAACTAACAAAACATTTTTTATATATAAAAAAAATAACTTTATCTTTTGAATTAAAAATATACCTTCTATTCTATTATTGTTACTATTATTATTAAATTAAAATTTGCCTATTAAGACTATTGGGCTAACTGTTTCCCATGAGCCCAGTTAAATGGGCTGTGGTGGGCCTATAAGATTATTGGGCTTATTGGGCTCTATGTCCCATGAGCCCAGTTAAATGGGCTGTTACAGAGCTCAACAAATCTGATCCAGAACAGGGAAGTTATTTAATTTTTATATAGTAAAAACTAGTACACTTTTCTTTTTTTATTTAAAAAAGTGTGAAAATATTAGTTTTAAGATAAAATACATATACTAACACTAAAATTTTGAAATATATAAACTAAAATGGAATTAAATTTCAGAAATAATATAATACCTTTAATTCCTTTTAATACTTTCGGGTCAATAATAGAGGAGCGGGGAAAAAAAAAAGTAGATTCCTGAAAAAATTTGTTGGTTTGTTGTCATGCAACTTTCGGGCCAGGCCGTGCGACTTTGGACGATCGCCGCTAATGGACAGGATTCAACGTGGGCCCACTTGATTAGGTTTATGATTGACAATGTGGGCCCATTGGCCCATTACTATGGTTCAGTCTTCACTTGATAACTGCCCTTCCTTGACAAAAGAAAGTTAAATTTGGTGGTCCCCTCTTCCACGAATGACCCAATATTTGAATAATATTTTGATCCTATAAACTTTAAAATTAAATATATTTGATAGAAAAAAATGTTAAAAAATACGGCAAGCACTTATTATTGTTTTTATTTTATTTTGGTCTCTTTATTTTTTAATTTATTATAGATATTTTTTATGTATAAAAACTGAATTAAAACATAATCTTATGAATTACGTTATTAGAAAATAAAAATTATGAGGTTTCTTTACCGGAATAAATTGTTACTCTTTCAGCTAAACACGTACATTGTGTGGCCCCTCGAAAGAATCTTTCATTTCAAGATCAACCGTTGATTTATCTTTGCTAAGATCAAATGTGGACCGTTGATTACCTGTGTTATCGGTACGTTGGGAACCCATTCAAGGGAAAACCAGAAAACCATACGAGTGATCGTCATGACAGATACGTGGAAGAGAGCAGCTGCAACTTCGGGACTAAACGCGAGAATTCCTATCCGTTACGATTTTGACACGTGGACGGTGGTTATGGTACGCTCTTCTTTCCCCGCCCCTATATATAGACTCATCCGTCACCTCTACATCTCGTTCAATAACGAGAAGTTTTAGTTTGATTTCGAAAACAAGTTTCATTATCTCGTTGTTCTTAGTTCTTCATCGTCGAAAATGTCGTGCTGTGGTGGAAACTGTGGATGCGGCTCTGCCTGCAAGTGCGGAAACGGCTGCGGAGGGTGAGTAATCGCTAATTTTCTCCTTTAGATTTTGATTGTGTGAACTGATTTCTCAATTTCCTTCTGTGGAGAATGATTTCTAGAGATTTTGACCTTCCGTTTTATTGTTATTTTTTTCGATTTCCTTTTCGACTCTGTACCTTAGTTCCTCGATCGACTGCGATCTGATCATGTGTTGTTTCTGTTTATTGAATTCTGAATATGAGAAAACATCACGCGATCACTGCCTATAATATTCTGAATTATCTGAGAAGGACTCTGATAATAGTTTTTTAGAGGATAATTACGATGATTCTGACGTTTCGTTTTGATATTTCGTTATGCAGTTGCAAGATGTTCCCTGACATGAGCTTCTCTGAGACAACCGCAACCATCGAGACCTTCGTCGTCGGCCTCGCTCCTCAGAAGATGTAAGTTTGTTTGAATGAGCCTAATTTTTCAAGAGAAATTCGGTCATGAGTCATAATTTTAATTAACTGTACTTATTTTCCATATTAGGTCCTTCGAGGTTGCAGAGATGGGAGCCGAGAACGGCTGCAAATGCGGTGACAACTGCACCTGCGATCCATGCAACTGTAAATGAGCAATTGCTCAAATCCTTGCGACCTGAGATGTCTTCGAGTACTTAAGTATGATCATAATAACAATTATCAAATCTTCCAGTGTTTTCCTTCCGTCGTTGCGTCTTTAAGAGTCGATTGAAGTGTTCCTTTCAAATAATAGCAGTTGTTAAGTTGTGGAAAAACTGATATGCTGTTATGGCGCACGGATCTTGTTATCCATAGATGCCTGTGTTTATCCATGTCTGTTTAACGTTTGCTTTTCTCTGTGTAAAGAAGCGGTATGTGCTAATTTATGTGTAACAGAGTTTGTTCTTGTTATCCATATCTATTGTTGAAAATCCAGAACCGAGTTTGAGTGCTCTAAAGGATCTGACTATGAAAAGTAAAATTCAACAATTTCGATGGGGCCGGTCGAATAGCTAACACCTTTCATTCTCAATCGATGTCCAAAATTAAATGCATACTTACGCGTGCCAGTTATCTTTCGCGACTGATAAGCCGAACAATCTGAGTTTACATGGTAAACAGTTCTGAAAATTGAATACATCCCCGTTCTCCATCCTTTAATTTATTTATTTTAAGGATGGTAAGTTGTTTTTTCTTTTTGCATCTTTTCTGGAAATCCTCCTTATCCTTTCATCCCTAAGTCGGCGAGTTTAAATTTTATTTTTTCTGTATTCTGTTGTTTGAGTTTATATTACAGATATTTTCAATAATAGTCAAATGATCTCTCTCTTTCACTTTTTTTTTTTTTAATAAAAAAACCCCCACTTTATCCTTTTGGTTTGAAACACTTTTGAAATCATGGCACGTGTTGGAACTTTAATTTATCCCTATGGTGGATGTTTTTTGATGGTTCATTTGGTTGAATGAAAGTCGATTTCGATTAATTTAGGAAATGATTATGGGTTTATAATCAAATAATACTATCTCTATTGGTATGAGATATTTTGGGAAAGATCAAAGTAAAGTCATGAGAGCCTAAGCTCAAAATAGACAATATCAGATAATTGTAAAGAGTAATATTCATCTAACATGGTATCAGAGTCATGCCCTAATTCAGCCATATCAATAGAATCCTCGTGTCGAACAATGAAGACTAAAAAAAAAAAGAGTCTCGATTAAGGGAGCATTTTTGTTGCTATTTTCTTACATAAAAAATAAAACCAAAATAAAACCAAAATTTTATTCACTTTCATAAATATTCTAATTTTATTCACTTTCATAAGTATTCTAATTGTTTTGTAAATTTGAAAATGTGTGTTCTCTTGAACAATTAGGTTTATATAAATAATTGTTGCCATTAAATGAAAATAATAAATAATAAACAATGAAATGGAATGACTTATTTTTTTATTTTTATTTTTTCGTTAATGGATTAAGGACGGGAATTCTGTTATATTAGTAGAATAGAAAAAATATTAGTAGCATCAGTAAAGATAAGAAAAAGAATTTAGAATATATAATCATTTTATTTTATAATAATTAATATTTTTAATGGGTAACTTATTTTTTTTTTAAATATTTTGTATAATGAGTGCCTTGGTTTTTATTAATTTAACGTACGATATCTCTTCACACACGAATCAGCTCAAATCGTGGTCATTTATTTCTAATCGGACGGTACAGAATTGCCCGCGAATCGTCTACCCGCGAATCCGATCCTCAAAAATGTTCGTCGACCTTTAACGCTCGAAATATCTCAAGTGCCGTTTGAGTTTCAATCCTCGTTATATCATAACGCCTTCCGTTAGTTGACCGTTAACCAATAGGGTTTCCCTTTTTGTTTATTTTATTTTTAAAAACCCGAAACTGACCTTCAATAACGGTAATTAACGGAGACGTCGGTGGTCTTATATATTCGTTATGTACAAATATTGCAAAATTTGGGAAAGAATTATTATATATTTCTTTTACTCTCTCTCTCTCTCTCTCTCTCTGTTTTCGCCTCTACTTTTGTTTCAACGGGCGACGATTTTCGAAACCAAAACAAAAGTATTCGTTTCTGAAGGAACGGTGGTTCCTTTGGTGTTGAACTAATTTCATCGCTTCCTTCTGCTCCACTTCGATTCCCGCTACTTCCTTACGAGAAGAGGTAACTTTCTATACTCTCAGATGCTTCGAATTTGTTTTCTAATTCTATTGATTTTTCCTCAATCTTGTCGACTGTTTGATCGTGTGTTTTCGTTATTTTTCATAAACCTTGCTCTGATTGGGGCAGGATTCTTTCAGTTTTTCGAGCTTTTCGTCTCTAAAACCCTACAATTGTGATTCTCTCCGCAAGTTTTCGATCTGATTGCTGGTTTTAAGATCTGAGTTTTTGTTTTCCGGTTTAGGTGAACTTGATAGTAGATGAGGTTTTTTTTTTTTACGGATTATTGCTTTAGTAGCTTGCTGTTGGTTTTTCGGTTACAATTTGAGGTGGTAATTTATTCTGTAATTAGGATTTTTGAATTTTGGAGATGGTTCTAGGAGTAGATGGAAGAGGTGAAACAAGAAGAGTGTTGTCTTGAAAATAAGCAATCTACGGCGGCTTCGAGTTCCTCTGTCTCTGAAGGTAGTGGTAGCGCAACTGCTAAGTCTCCTGGGATGTGTAGTCCAGCATCAACATCTCCTTCTCGTCGGTAATTTCACAAAGTTCTTCGACTCGGTGTTTGATTTAGCAATGTGCAGAGAAATTTACTGATGAAGAAACTTTTTGTTATTGTTTCTGGACATTCGGTGAATAAGGCAGCTATTCATATTTTATAATGGACTGCAAAAGTTACTGAAAAATGGAATGATTCTATACTCCTTATGATCAGTTCAAAGAACTCTCGGACATTTTTGCTTAAATGTG